CTTTCCCATCTAAGGACTTTCTATTCATATATTTGGCTGCATCTTTGGCATCTGGCAGGGTTTCAAAGATAACAAAAGCAAATCCTCTAGATTTGTTGGTTTCATGGTCTTTCATCAAGAGCACTTGCACAGTTCATCCATATTTTTCAAAAACTGCCACAAGGGCTTTCTCATTTGTTTTTGTATTGAGCCCACCAATGAAGAGCTTTCAACCATTTTTCACCTCCTGGTGAGTGTTAGACAGGTGACCACCATTTGAACCTCCTGTGAGTTCACTCACTGGCACTTGGAAATGGATAAGCACCAGGGCTGGCTACTGGGTTTGAGGACAGAAGGGGGAAGCCTCTAGCACTACTACACAACTGCAAATCACTTTATTTTTGCATTTCAAAAAATTTTTAAGTAATATTCATAAAAACTTTTGTTTTTTTAATTCAAACATTATTTCAAAAAAGTATACTAGGAAGTCTACCTATTCCTCACTCCATTCCTAGTTTCTCTCTTGAAGGTGAAAGCTAAAGTTCTTGGGTGCATCTTTCCAGGCAAAAATGCTATACATCCTCATGTTAGTATATTTTTTAAAATTCTGCGCAAGTAGGGTTCCACTTTAGATGCTATACTGCCCTTGATATATGTCTTCCAATATATTCAAAAAATCATCATGTCAGCACTTGCAGCTCAACTTCTTTTTAAAGTTGCAAAGAATCCCATGGCACAGGTATACCCTAATTTAAACAACTACTTCCCCATTGATGGTCATTCAGGTTTTCCATTTTTTTCTGTTGTAAACAACACAGCAATAAATGTTTTCGGGCACATATCTTAATGAATATATCCATAAGATGTATTTTTTAGCAGTGGAACTTCTGGGCAAAGGGTATGTGTATTTTTAATTTGACTGATACTATTAAATACTCCTCCAGAAAGTTTATACCAATTTATATTCATACTAATGTATGAGAAAGCTTATTTCCTCACTATAACACTGGATATGACCAGGCTTTAAACAGTAAAAGGTGTAGTGTTGGTGTAGGATTGTCATTAGAAAACTCAGCAATAGGCCCACACACTCATGAGATGTTGAATGATGAAAGTGTTGACATTGCAGCTCAGTGGAAGGAAGAAGGAATTTAAGTATTTACTTTCTTAATAAATGGTGCAAGGACAGCTGGTTATCCTAATGGAAAGAAAGAAATTGGACTCTAACTCACATCATGTACAAAAATCAATTCCTCGGTGAATTAAAGACCTAGATGTGAAGAACACAGTGATAGCTTTGCCTATATTAAAATTTCTGCCCATCAAGACACCATAAAAAAAGTGAAAAGACAAATCACAAATTGGGAGAAGAAATTTGTAATATATCCGACATAACTGGCAAAGGGTTAATAGCCAGAATATAAGAAAGCCTACAAATGAGTGTTTTTGTTTTGTTTTGTTTTTCAGATACAAGCCTAGATATGTTGATAATAGGAAAATGGGCAAAAAAACACAAATTTCTCAGAAGATGAAGCACAAGTGACCCTTAAATATATAAACCAACCAAACCAAACCTGTTGCCATTGGGTTGATTCCTAACTCCTAGCTACCCTGTAGGACAGAGCAGAATTGACCCACAGAGTTTCCAAGGCAGTACAGACGCAGATTGCCACATTTTTTCCTGCAGAGTGACTGGTGAGTTTGAACCACTGACTTTTCGGTTAACAGCCAAGCACTAACCATTTGCACCACCAACACTCCTTTAAACATATGAAGAGGGGCTCTAATTCATAATTAAATAGGAAATGAACAATTGGTTTTGTTGAAATAACTATCTCATTCGAGAATGGCAAAAATAAAAAAAACTCAAATACCAAGTATGGGCAAGGGTATGAAGCACAGGAACCGTCATACATGGTAGTTGGCAGCATAAATAAGTACAACCACTTTGGAAAGCAGTTCAACGTGCCCAAGTCAAATTGAACACGCACACACCCTTCAACCTAGCAATGTCATGATTCAACATGTTTGAGTATGTTCTTAGCATTACTATTCTTAAAAAGAAAAAACGGGAGAACTGGGGCAATGTGGCATTGGTGTAGTTTGGTTTGTGTGTCAACTTGGCTGGGCCTGGTTGAGTGGTTGGGCAGCCGGTGGTAGTTATTCCCCATGATGAGACTGGCAATCAACTCCATGGTGGGATCTACCACAAGCAGCTGGGTAGCTGCCTTTGGGTATGTGGTCTGCTTCCTGTATATAAGGAGAAGCCTTGGGGAATGGTCTCTAGCTTATGGGGCACACTTGGACCCTGCATGTACCTGTGTCTTTGTTGAGCAGCCTGCTATGCTCTGCCAACCTTGGGACTTACAATGGACTTAAGTTAAGGGCCTGCAGGGTAGTTTGGTAACATCGGGACTGTGCCTTTTTTACTTGTCAACCTTGGGGCTTCTCAGCCTCAGCAGCCAGCAGCTGTCTGAGTGAAGAAATGCCTCTAGCTCCAGTAGGCTGGGAGCAGGAGGCAGAGCTGGACCCCAAGGTTGAGGGGCTTTCATCCAGCCCCTAGAGCCTGGCACTTTGAACTTGGATTTATTGCCTCCAAGTTGTAAGAATAAACTCCTGCTTGTTAAGGCCATCCCATTTGTGGTGTATTCCTGTCAGAGCAGCACTAGGTAACCAGAACAGCATACAAAGGAAGACAGTGCCCTTCAAGGATGTGGCTGCTGCCATGATCCAAACATGTTGCTCAACTTTTCTAGCATCATAGTCACACTGTGCCATTTATGGAAAAACTCTCTCCCTCCTGCTATTCTCAGTGTTGACAGGAGGACTTGGGTTATATCTGACTTCTTTTTCAGTTTGAAAATATTTGTCATTAAAAACCAGGATATGCCCTCAGAGATAGAGTCCCTTCCATGACTTTTATTCTGGTGAAGTCTTTATCCTCAGGATACAAGGCTATCTCCCTCTTCCTTTGGAAAGTGCCAAATCATATGCAAAGCTCCAAGCCTTTCAGTTGCATTGGGTGCAGCATCGTTTCAGGTAAGGACAAATATTTTAAAAGTCAGACTAGGAAACTGGAAGGCTAGGTGAGTCTGTGTGCATAAGAACAAAAATTAGTATAGGAAATAATTTTTGCAGAATTATATTTGGGAAAACCTTGCCTTGGTAGATTAGTATTAATTACTGTGTGTATTTCACAGATAATTCAATGCCATGGGTACTTATTTTTATTAATCATCTTACCAATGATAGCTTCTTATTTTATGGCTCAGTCAGAATATCACCCTCAAATTCTAAGCTGTGTGACCCTGGGTAAGTTATTAACCTTTTTGTCCCTTAGTTTCCTCATCCGTGAACTGGGGACAATAATACTACTTAACCCCACAGGGTTATTGTAAGCGTTTAGTGAATTAACAAAGTGCTGAGAACATTATGTGGCATAAAGTGATATGCATTATTATGAGTTGCTTTTCTCAGCTTGGCTATAAACTGAGGGTATTCACTGTTCGGGGGTATTCACTGTTTTTGCTGAGTAAGTTGGGACTGCAGAAATAGCATTATTGTAATACAAAGACTCAAGTTGTGGTGGCTGCTGTTGTTTTTAATAGACTTTGCCGTTCCCTCCATGAATTTAACTATAGCCAACTGGGCAAACTATAGCCAATTCTGAGCTGTTTTCACAGTGCACACTGCTTTTCAATGTCTGTCAGTTTGAATTTGAGAATGATTATTTTAATTGGCTCTCTTCAAGTAAAGTCTTGACCTGTGTTTAAAAGTATTGGCTTTTCACCAGGATTACTAGTCAGATAGAGACTGGTGAAACTCCCCAGAGACTACTGGCCTGGGGGTGGGGCGGTGTTACACTTAGGGCCCAAAACTGGATTTAGGCCTGTGGATTAGCTCTCAGCCAAACAAGACAGGCCTACAAACTGAACATGAGGGAGATGCACTACTTAGAACAGTCAACTGCGGGAGATCGGAAAGGCAGCATTTGCACAAGGGAGAAAGCTAGACAGGCAGGAGTGCATAGGTAAGAACACAGGGAGGGGGTAACCACAGGGAGGAGGCTGGAAGAGAGCTGGTACAGTGTGGGAATTATAATGCATGCCATGAAGCAAAATATGTATGAACTGTTGAGTGTAAAACAAATCTGCTTTGTAAAATGGCACCCAAAACACAATAAAAATCTTTTTAAAAAGGTATTGGCTTTTTTGTAGAGTGAAAGTACTTTAATTTCAATGATTTAAAATCAATAAAAGAATGAGATCTCATAGTGTAGAATCAATCACTCCAGGAAATATGCATGCATAAGAAAAGGGAGACTCATTGGGGTGTTTAGACAACAAAGTCAGTGGTAATTCTGGTGAAACTGGTTGTGCCTCCACAATAGTTTGTGTTACAAGAACCAATACCAAAAACAAAAAACAAAACCCCACTGCCATCTAGCTGATTGCAACTCATAGCGACCCTTATTGGGTTTCCAAGGACGTAAATCTTTACCAAAGCAGATTATCCCAACTTTTTTCCGGGAAGAGGCTGGTGGGTTTGAACCACTAACTTTCTGTTTAGCAGTCAAATGCCTTAGGCACTGTGCCACCACAGCTCCTTTTACAAGAGCCAGTATGTGCTTAAAATTCCTTGTCTATTGGCTTTTCAAGGAGCCTAAGGCACCTGACTGCTCACCACAAGTCTGGTGGTTCAAACCCATCAGCCACTCCTCTGAAGGAAGGTTGGGCAATCTACTTCCATAGTGATACTGCCTCGGAAACCCAAGGAGGGGTCTCTATGAATCAGATCCCATCAATAGTAGTGAGGTTTTCTTTTGGGAGCTCTGGTAGTGCAGTGCCTAAGGCACTTGACTGCTAACCAGAAGGCTGGTGGTTCAAACCCACCAGCTACTCCTCGGAAGAAAGGTTGGGCAATCTACTTCCATAGTGATACCGCCTCGGAAACCCAAGGAGGGGTCGCTATGAGTCGGGGCCAACTCGATGGCACATAACAACAACATTGTCTTTTCAGGCATGCTGAGGACGACCCTGCTCTGTGTGGTGCTTGGGCTCCTATGGGCACAGCCCTTCCCGTGCCCACCTGGCTGCAAGTGTGTCTTCAGGGATGCCGCGCAATGCTCTGGGGGCAACGTGGCAAGCATCTCAGCGCTCGGTCTGCCCACCAACCTCACGCACATCCTGCTTTTCCGCATGGACCGTGGCCCCTTGCAGAATCACAGTTTTAGCCACATGACAGTCCTGCAGCGCCTGATTCTCTCAGACAGCCACATTTCTGCCATTGCCCCCGGAACCTTCAATGACCTGATAAAACTAAAAACCCTGAAGTTGTCGCGCGACAAAATCACTCATCTTCCAGGTGCACTATTGGATAAGATGGTGCTCCTGGAACAGTTGTTTTTGGACCACAATGCACTAAGGAGTATTGACCAAAACATGTTTCAGAACCTGGTTAACCTGCAGGAGCTCTTTCTGAACCAGAATCAACTAGCTTTCCTTCCTGCTAGTCTCTTCACAAATCTGGGGAACCTCAAAGTGTTGGATTTATCGGTTAACAATTTGACCCAGCTGCCCAAGGGACTGCTTGAGACACAGGCTAAGCTTGAGAAACTTCTCCTCCACTCGAACCAGCTCACATCTCTGGATTCTGGGCTGTTGGATAGCTTGAAAGCCCTGCTTGAGCTGCGGCTTGACAGAAATCACATCCATTTCATAGCACCAGGTGCTCTCGACCGTCTCGGAAACCTGAGCACTTTGACTCTTTCCAGAAACCACCTCGAATTTCTGCCCTCTGCACTCTTTCTTCATACGCACAATTTGACTCTCCTGACTCTGTCTGAGAACCCGCTGCAAGAGCTTCCCGGAGTGCTCTTTGGGAAGATGGCCGGCCTGAAGGAGGTGTGGCTGAGCGGAACCCAGCTCACCACTTTACCGGATGCCGTCTTCCGCAACCTGAGTCGCCTGCAGGCCCTAGGAGTGACTCTGAACCCGCGCCTGAGCGCGCTTCCGGAGGGAGCCTTCCGGGGCCTTAGCGAGCTCCAGGTGCTAGCCCTGCACTCCAACAACCTGATCTCGCTCCCCCAGGGCTTGCTGCACGGCCTCCGCAGCCTACGGGAAGTCTCGCTGCGCAACAACCGGCTGCAAGTCCTGCCCCGTGCGCTCTTCCGCAACCTCAGCAGCCTGGAGAAGGTCCAGCTTGACACCAACCAGCTGGAGACCCTGCCTGGCGACGTGTTTGGAGCTCTGCCCCGGCTGACAGAGGTCTTGCTGGGGCACAATCCCTGGCGCTGCGACTGTGGCCTATGGCCATTCGTGAGGTGGCTGCGACAGCACCGACTCCACGTGGGCCAAGCCGAGCCTCCGCTGTGTGGCTATCCTGGGCAGCGCGCGGGCCTGCAAATCTGGGCTCTGCCGGAGGGTGACTCGTGGTGCCCAGGCACCCGGTGGCCAACTCCCCATCCATCCACGGAGGACTCCTCGGAAGTCCTCACCCACTCAGCCCTGCCCAGCGGCTTCTTGCCCTCTGCCCACCCTGCCTTGGTACCTAACAGCGAAGACCCCTGGGTGTGGGCCCAACTGGTGGCCAAAGGCAAACGTGAAGATCATAGACAATTCTGGGGTCTTTATTTTCTGCTTTTAGCCGCTCAGGCCATAATAACTGGGATCATTGTGTTTGCTATGATTAAAATCAGCCAGCTCTTACAAAAATTAATCACAGAGAGGGTTCTTGTTTGAGTCAATGGGGAAACCTTACAATTATTTAAAACGTGACTCTGGGAGGAGTCCAGGCTGCTAACTGCAGTCTTCTTCCTCTCCCTCCTTCCCCTCTCCCTTCTTCTCCTATCCTTTTTCCTCTTCTCCCTCTTTTATTCTCCTTCTCTTCATCCTTCTCCTGCCTCTTCTCAAACCTCCTTCTACTCTTTCTCCCACTATTACTTTCTCCCTCTCATGCCTGCCTGCCCTGTGCCCCGCTAGCTTTTACATTTGTAAAGTGATTGCTTGTTCCCTCTCCCTAGCCCTCTGTGGTGCTCTTGGCTGCCTGGACGGTGTCTGGCCCATTCATGTGGCCACTGTGCCTGGTGGGGAGGGGCTGGTGTCAGTGGTGTTCAGTGAGTAAAGGTGCAGTGAAAGAACCCACTCCAGGCAGGCTTGTCTTATGGACTTACCATGTTTGTCAGGTGAATGAATGAATAAAAATAAATAAATACGTATGATCCAAGTGCTGATGGTTTTTCCTGGAGGAAAGAATGGATTGTTCTCTTCATCTGCTTTTGTTGTCCTGTTTTTCTCACTTTATGTATTTGTGACCTGTGAGCTATTTTGGGGAACTAGGGATTACATTCATTCTGGGTAGCCTCCTCTGTGATAGCTGAGATATAAAACGCAGAGCCTTCCCTCCAGGAGCTCAGGACAGTGGCATTACTGCCAGCTGTCAGGGCTGGATACCAGTGGAGCACTGAGGAGGGGCCGCTGGGAGGGTCAGGGTGGAACAGAACACAGTGAAGGGGTAAACGTGCTGAGCAGCGTGCCGGCGCACACACTGACTCTCCCAATCAGTGGAGCCTCCTGTTAGTTTCTATTTGCTTTCTTCCGCAGGTGAAATATGTCATTTTGACACTGGGTTGGTTTTCATTTCCTGGAACTAAATGCCACCTCATTTCACAAGCATTTATGGAGCACTTATCATGTGAAGGTAATGATAACCTTCTAGTTCATTATGCTTGGATCCTATTCTCATGTATTCTTCAAACTGAAAGCAGTAAAGCTCTTGTTGCTTTAACTGGATGCATGAGCTTGTGCAAGGCAGTGACTAAGACATGAGCTGGAGAGTTGATAGTCTGGGTTCAAATCCCAGCTCTACACCTTACTAACTGCATAGGACTTTGACTAAGACACCTAAATTCTCTAAGTGTTGGTTTCCTTATCCTTAAAAAGGGATAAAATAGGACCTGCCTCAGAGAGGTTGTGAGCTCATAGAGTTATTGTGAGAATTAAAGGCAATAAAGCCCAGTGCCCCACATATAGTGAAGGCTCAATAAGTGTTGGCTATTAAGGGAGCTCTGGTAGCATAGTGGCTAAGACACTTGCCTGCTAACCAGACGGCTGGCGGTTCAAACCCACCAGCCACTCCTCGGAAGGAAGGTTGGGCAATCCTACTTCCGTAGTGATACTGCCTCGGAAACCCAAGGAGGGGTCGCTATGAGTCGGGGCCGACTCGACAGCACATAACAACAATAACAACAACAAATTATTATTAAAGGACACAGCAGTTATTACTGCTGTCATTATTTCTAAGGAAGAGCTTTGAGTTGGGCTTGTCGCTGTATAGAAAGGCGAGAGCACACTTTCTCAACTGGAGGTTACATTTAAATCAGTTTGTCTTCACCTGTGGGTGGTCTTAGTCCTGTGTAGTTGGCTCTGTGTTCAGTGTCTGCTCAGAGCAATACCAACTGGAGGTGGAGCGGGAACAGCTGGATTGCTGGCATTTTAGGTGTACTGGTGGTATAGTGCCTAAGACATTTGACTGTTAACCAGAAGGCAGGTGGTTCAAACCCACCAGCCACTCCTCAGAAGGAAGGTTGGGCAATCTACTTCTGTAGTGATACCACCTTAGAAACTCAAGGAGGGGTCACTATGAGTTGGAATCGACTTGGTGGCAATGAGTTTGGTTTTTTTTTTTTTTTGGTGTTGAAGACAAAGCTCAAATGTCTCCTCCTTGGTAAAGCCTCCCCTGGCTTCCCCAGCAGAATACAGGGTTCCCTGCTGTGTTCTCCCCTAGACACACACCCCCGTTTGACCTGATCATCATTTACTCTAGAGTATATCTACTTATGCACCCCCTGCACTGTAGTTTCCTTCACCTGACCTTATCTTGGTGCATAAGAGGTTCAATAGAAGTTAGCTGTTATTATGGTTAGCTCTTTCAGAAGACACAGTGTTCTAATATGTCTCAGTGCCTTTGCATATATTCACTCATTCATTTGCCAACTATTTATTGAGCACTTTTTTCCTATGTATTCCTGCCCAATCCCCCAGCTATCTCCCTGTGCAAACACTACCCTTCTGTTCCCCCACGATTGATCGATTGAGAGTTCTAAGGAGTGTATCTGCCTGATGTAAATGTTCACCCTATATGCCTGTCTGTTGTTTAGCTGGAAGCCACGGGAATGAGTTCAGTTCCAGACCTGAAGGGTTCCTAGGGGCCGTAGTCTCAGGGGTCTCACCAGGCTCTTATCAGACCAGCAAACCCTGTCTTTTCTTACGATTTTGAGCTTTGTTCCACATTGCTCTCCCACTCTATTCAAGATCTTATTTTCTCACAGGTCTGTAGGCCAAAAGTCCAAGTCAGGCTGTTTGCTGTGTGATCCCTCTGAAGGCTCTGAGAGAAACTGCCAGCCTCTTCTGGTGGTTCCTGACAGTCCTCGGCATCCAGCTGCATCCGCCTCCATCCTCGTGTGGTCTTTCTTTTTCTGCCTAACTTTCCAGGGCTGTTCCCTTTTATAAGACACCATTCCAATTGGATTAGGACCTACCCTATTCTGGTCTCACCTCATGTTAACTGATAAGATCATCAAAGATCCTATTTCCAAACAAGGTCGCAGTCACAGTTAGCAGAGGCTAGGACTTCAACATGTGTTTTTGGAGGGATACCATTCAATCCATAAAACATGACATTCTGTTATATACATTCTTTATATCCTTTATATATATTCTGCTATATGCATTCTTTAATGTTTAAAATTATATTTCTGACATGTATCCATATGACGCATTTAGTTCTAGTTCATTCATTTTAATAGCTGCATAAGTAATATTCTGTTGAATGACTATAACACAGTTTATCTGTTCTGTTGTTGACGGGCATTTGTTCCTAGTTTTCTTTTTTTTTTTTTTTCCTGGAGCTCTGGTGGCACAGGGCCTAAAGCATATGACTGCTAACCAGAATGCTGGTGGTTCAAACCCACCAGCCACTCCTCAGAAGGAAGGTTGGGCAGTTTACTTCTATAGCAATACTGCCTTGGAAACCCAAGGAGGGGTTGCTATGAGTTGGATCTGACTCAACAGCAGTGAGTTTTTTTTTCTTGTTGTTATTCTCTGATACTTTACTCCACATCACCCCCAGACTTTTATGTTGTTGTCAGTCAGATAGGTTGGAAAGGTATTTCATTGTTTTGTCTTACCTTCTCTTGATAATTTGTAATGTCAAATTTCCCTTTGAATAATATTGAATATTCAGATTCCTTCTGAGAATTAATTGTGCATATATATTAATCAACTGGACATTTCATTTTCTTCTTTATTTGTAGAAATTCTTTACATATCCTGGATTCTAAGCCTCTGTAAGTTATATGGTTTGCAGTTATCTTCTTTCAATTTGTGATTGCTAGTTTCATTTTGTTTATGGTGTCTTGTTGAACAGTTTTCATTTCAGTGTTGTTCTGGTTAACCTAGTGCCACTCTGACAAGAATATACCGCAAATGGGATGGCTTGAACAGACAGGAGTTTATTCTCTTACAGTTTGGAGGCTTTGAATCTGAGTTCAGAATACCAGGCTCTAGGGGCTGGGTGAAAGCCCCCCAGCCTTGGGCTTCAGTTCTGCCTCCTGCTCCTGGCCCCCTGGAGCTAGAGGCATTTCTTCACTCAGACAGCTGCTGGCTGCTGAGACTGACAAGCCCAAAGTTGACAAGTAAAAAGGCACAGTCCTGATGTTACCAAACCACACAGCAGGCCATTAATTCAAGTCCATTGAAAGTCCCAAAGTCAGAAGAGCATGGCAGGCTGCTGAACAACAACACAGCTACCTGCAGGGTTCAAGTGTGGAGTGTGCCATAAGCTAGAGACCATTCCCAAAGCTGTTTCTTATATATGGGAACCAGACCACATCCCTAAAGCAGCTACTCAGCTGCTTGTGGTAGGTCCCACCATGGAGATGATTGCCAGTTTCATCATGAGGAATAACTACCACCAGCTGCCCAGCCACTCAACCAGGCCCGCCAAGTTGACACACAACCTTAACCACCACAAATGTAGTCAAATTTAGCAGCATAGTTTTGCAGCTTGTGCTTTAAAAAAGAAATTATATTTAAGAAATTCTTCCTACTCTCATGCAATAAGGTAATCTGCTATATTTTCTTCTAAAATTATAATATTTTGTTTTTTACATTTAGATCTTAAACCACACAGAAGTTACAGCTGTGTAGGCTATAATGTAGGGAACTATCTTATTTATCTAGCACTGGTAATAACAGAAATACCACAAGTGGGTGGCTTTAATGAACAGAATTTAGTTTCTCACAATTTAGGACACGAGGAGTCTGAACTCATGGCACCAGCTCTAGGGGAAGGTCCTCGTCTCTTTTCATCTTCTGCCCCTCAGTTCCTTGGTGGTCATCATGTGTGTATCTTGCCGCATCTATGCTAACTTGCTTCTGTGCCTAATCTGCTCTTTTTATATCTCAAAAGTGATTGATTTGAGACACTCCCTACATTAACATAACAATAAAATTGCATTCTCAAATGAAATTATAACCACAGGTACAACAAAAAAACAAACCCACTGCCATTGAGTCAATTCTGACCCATTTGTTGTTCTTGTTATGTGCCGTAGAGTCGGACCCGATTCATAGTGACCCTTCCTTGGGTTTCTGAGACAGTATCTCTATGGAAGTAGATTGCCCCATCTTCCTTCCGAGGAGTGGCTGATGGGTTTGAACTGCCAGCCTTCTGGTTAGCA